CGTCGCTTCCTGGCAATCCTAAATCCTGCCGCAACATTATTTCCTGTGACTTCGTTCATGCGAATCCTTGAACGCGTCGCAAACTTCTACAACGAATCTGCGCGGCGCTAAGGCGAGAGCCACAGTTCGGGAAGGAACCGCCCTCCATCCTTGAAGCGGATGCAAGCCTCTAAGACAAGTGTGCTCGGCGCTAAGGCGATGACCACATTTTGGAAAGGCGCCGCCCTCTATCCCCGACGTTGTTGCAAACTCTGCAGAAGAATATGCACGGCGCTCAGGCGACATCCACAGTTTGAAAAGGAACCGCCCTCTAACTTTGAACATGTTGCAAGCCTTGAAGACGAATGTGAGCGGTGCGAAGGCGAGGGCCACATTAATCGCCCTCCATCCTTGAAACGGTTGAGAACCTCATGTTGAAAACCACGTGCTTCCATCCCCAAAACGGTGGCAAATGTTTGAGACGAGCATCCTCGGCGCTACGGCGGTAGCCACATTTGGGAAGCCACCGGCACTCCATCCGTGAAGCTGTTGCAAATTTCACCCTTCAGGGCCAGAGATGGCGAGAAAGCCTCAGGCGAAACGCCCCGCCCGCCCTACCGACGCGTTTTGGGGTGCGGCAGGGAAGAGTTTACGTAGGAAGAGGAGGAGGAGGGAGGAGGAGGAGGAGGAGGAAGAAGAAGAAGAGTAACAATAGTTAAGGATACTACGCATAATAATGATACTATTAATAATAAGAAGAATACGAATAAGAAGAAGCAGAATAAGACGAATACTTTTACTAAGAATAAGAAGAATAATATCAATAAGATGAACAATAGTAGTTTGAATACTAAGGAGACGAATAAGATTACTAATTCTAAGACTAATAACAATACTAATACTAATAATAATACTAATAACCCTAATACTAAGAAGACTACGACGAATATTGCGAATACTAATCATAACAATATTAAGAATAATAGTAATAAGAAGACGAACAATAATAACACGAATGCTACTAATAATAATCATTATACTAATAATAGGAAGAAGACTAGAAATACTGATAAGAAGACGAAGAGGAGGAGGAGGAGGAGGAGGAGGAGAAGGAGGAGGAGGAGGAGGAGGAGGAGGAGGAGGAGGAGGAAGAGGGAGAGGTAGAGATCGAGGAAGAGAAATAATTGAGGAGAGAAGAGGACGGGAGCTGAGGAGAGGACACTTCTTGCGCGCGTTGCGAGCCAATCTGAGTTGCGAAGCTCCGAGCTTCTGCTTGCCTGGACGGGGTTTCCATTCGCATGCTGCGCTGGGTGGTCGTTTCCGGGATCCGTGGTGCTACTGAGCGCTCGCTAGACGGTGTTCGCTCAGTGCGGCTGGCGATCATCACGGATGTAAGGCCATGACTGAAGGCTTAGTCCAAAGTATCATCGCTAGGATTTTGCAGGGCAGGAGGGTAAGTTTTTTTTTTGTGCACGAGCTCTCGGTTTTCGAAGACAGATCTTTGGAGACACGCGGGTGTCATTCCGCGTTTCGTGCTTCGCGGCAGAAGTAGTGTTTCGCGGATTGCCGGCTTGCTTTGGAGGGCCTGCCCCTAGCAGCGCAGCAGGCCATCGCCCATGTGCGCGGGGAGCGGCTGGGTGGTATCCACAGGGCTATTGCACTGCCCGTTTGACGAAAGCCCTTTGAGCATTGTGTCTGCTCCTGTGCAGACGCGACCCCGCCGAGTGATACATTGACGGGCGGGTGTCAGCACCGCTCGGACTGACGAGCGTTGCTGAGGAACGCCTGCGCTCGCTTCCTCTGCCCGAGCGCCCAGAACCGACACCTCGGCCCGCCACGACCGAGGGCTGCAGGACCCCCCTCCTGAGCGCTGCGGGCCGGGCGTGGACGTTCGGTCCGCCCGCAGAACACAGAACTGGGAAAGCGTAAGACTCGAGTAAGCCGGAACTCGGGCTTGCCGACGTTTTTTGACGAGCGCATCCTGGATTTTGACGGCTCGGTTTTCGTGGGATGTTTGCAACGGGGTCTCGTGCCAAATTTCAGATTGGGCCTCGTCATTTTCATGATGACCCCGTCAGGCCAACCCGAGTCCCCCGTACCCGAGTCTTACGTCTCCCCGACATAAGGCACGCAGTACCCACACATGATCGCTGCAGAAGAACGTGGTCGGCTGTGTGGAAATTCGTGCGCAAGCTTCCCGCGTAAGATGGCGCTAAAGTGCCATTCTTTTCAGTGTAGCGTGCCGCGCTGGCGGCCCGCGCGAGCCACCGCGTACGTTCGCTATGCCATCTTCTTTTAAGACCCCCTGACTTTTTGTTGCTCACTCGTTCCTGCTACCGAGCATGTAAGGTAATTATATCTTTGGGCATGGGCTCCGAGACAGAAGCACGACCGACTTTTCGGATCTCGGAGGAGGTCCGCACTTACGGTGTGAGAACGGCGGGTCCGGGTCTGAGCCAAACCATCGTCTTCACCGATGGCGCAGTAACATCACAGACAGGACAAAGAAAGGCATCGGCGACTAGAACAACCTGGTCGTCATCACCTCTCCAGCCGCCCCCCTTTCCCTCACCGCCCTTGTCCCAGGCTCTTTCTGCAGACTTTTCGGAAGGCCGCAATTGTGTAGGAGCAGATGTCTAGGTCGAAATGGAAGTCGAGGTTGAAATGGAGATAGTGGTCGGCCGCCCTCTACGAGCTCACACTCGGCTCTGCAGGGGTACCATGGGCTCCTGGAGCTCCCCTGCTTTTTGGACTTCTTCCTGGGGGAGCCGGGTGGATCAAGTGAACTATTGCTTGCCTCATCCATCACACGTGGGTGCCAGCTGCCACCAATGGTAGCGACGGGATGATCTCCCCCACCCGTCCACTCGGTCCCTCTCTATTTCTATCCCTCCCCTCCCTGCCCCTCCACCTCACCGTCTCCCCCCCCCTCCCCTCTGTCTGCTCGCTTCTCTTCCGCCCCCTCTCGTCCATGCACTCCTCCTGCGTTCGCCTCCCTCTCTTGGCCTAGGCAAGGTCTCTCCCTACTCCGAGTTTCTTAACAAGCGTTGGAGGGGCGTCACCCCCGCCGGCAGCCCGACATCAACCCCCGTCACGGGCAGCCACCGCGCGCCGAAGGCGCTCCGACCCCCGTCGCGGCGTGACGACGAGGCGAGGTTGAGCCCCGTCGGGGGGTACCCCCCCACGCTTATTCAGAAACCCAGAGTAGTCCTCTCGACCAGCCAGCCGACATTCCCGCGCTTGCATCGTCATTCGAAAGCAGCTGACAGAATTTCTAAACAAGTACAACAAGAGTCCCAACTTCTGGCCCTCGATCAGCAGGAACATGACCAAGATCGACACCGACGTTTCCGCTTTCAGTCTTGTTCATGGCCAGTGTTTTCTTCCCTTCCAGGAAAGAGATCCTCGATCCTCCGCATCGTCAAACCTATCCCCATCCCCACGGCCATGGTATCTCAGACCCACCAGCCCTCCCTCCTCCTCCTCCTCCTCCTCCTCCTCCTCCTGCTCATCCTCCTCCTCTTCCCCATCAGTACGCTAACTGGTCTTTTCGCTGCATGACCGCAGCAGAGGTGACGGTTAACGGGATTGCGAGATTGGCTCTGCATGTGTCGATGTTCGAGGGTGGCCGAAGAGAACAACATTACATCATACCCACCAGCCCACCTTCCCAGGTGGCGATAGGCCCCCCGAGCCCGGACGCAACGGGTGGGCAAGTCGGCCAGTGGTGCCAAGGTCACGCCAGTGAGAACAGGGATCGGCGAAAGGACCCCCTCGGCCTCGACCCTCCTCGACCCCGAACTCCGCCCCGACCCCACCCGCGAGGCCGGCGCCGAGCCCGTGGAGCGTGCGGCCGCGGCGCCAGCGTCCGCGCGCGGCTCCTCGGTGGCCTGTGGGGGGGGGGGGCGTGGCGCTCGCACGCGCTCCGTAGCCGCTGCGCCCGCCGCCCGCTGACCGCTGGCCGCTGGCGCCCGCAAGGGGGTGACGCGAGCGGCGGGGGGCTTCCCAGAAGCCCGCCGCCCGGTTTGACGCCCTCGAGGCTTCTTCGGAAGATCCCTCCGCCTTCTTCGAAGGCCGCCCCCCGCCGTCGTCGCCGCCGTCGCGGCCGTCCTCGCAGGGCCCACTCGGATTCGATAGATCCGATTCGATCTCGAGTTCGCCAGGGTTCGAGGCTTTCGAGGTTAGAGGTTTTCTGGGGTTTTCGTGGGCCTCTGGATGTTCTCCTGCTTTGGGATGCGTTCCAGCAGCTGCGTCTCGCCGAGAGCGTGCCAGGGGTGCCCGAATCGTCCCGAACGGCCGGTGGATGTCCGCGCTATGCTCCGAAAATGTCTCGGGCATGTCTGGTCAGTGTCGTTTCGATGCGAGACGCACATTCCGATTTTGTCGGAATTTCTGCTTCGATGCTTACCGATCCCGCCGCCGACGCTGCCGCCCCGCTCTGAGATGAATGTTTTCTCAAGCGCCAGGCCTGTGGTTCGGGTGGAGCCGTCGCCCCCGTCGGGCCTGGATCTCATCCAGAAAGCTGCGGAGAGTAGAGGGTGCGATCACCCGAAATCGGGACAACCACGTTGTCTAAGAGACTTGCCGCGGCCGCCGTCGTCGCCGTCGTCCGTCCGTCCGTCTGGTCGTCGTGGTCGTCGTCGTCGTCGTCGTCGTCGTCGTCCGTCCGTCCGTCCGTCCGTCCGTCCGTCCGTCCGTCCGTCCTCGTCGTCGTCGTCGTCGTCGTCGTCGTCGTCGTCGGTTGTCGGTTGTCGTCCGTCGTGGTCGTCGTCGTTGTCGTCGTCGTCGTCGTCGTCGTCCGTCCGTCCGTCCGTTCGTCCGTCCGTCCGTCCGTCCGTCCGTCCATCCGTCCGGCCGACCTCGTCGCCTTCGTCGTCGTCGTCGTCGTTGTCGTCGTCGCTCGTCAGCGATCCTCGGTCCTTGAAGGTCGAGGTTGGAAGAGGAGTTTGTGTTTGGCGTTACTGGTCTATGTAGGACGGCTGGGGACCTTCCGCCGTCGTCCGTTGTTCGGTCCGTCGTCGTTCTCCGCCTTCTGCCTTCTCGTCTCGTTGATCCTCCCCGGTGTTTCGTTGATTCCTACAGGTCAGGACAATGTGACCTGCACTGCTTCTCTTTGGGTCGAGGTGGTGCAATAGGCTTCTCGTCCTCTTCCCCATCCTCCTCCTCCTCCTGCCTCGGCTTCCGGTTCCCTGCTTTCGCCTCAATTGTTCTTTTGTTCCTCCAGCTCATTGCTGGACCCCAGGCTTCGGGTTTGTGCCCGTCGGGGCCTGCCTTGCCCCCCCCCGCTGTTTCTTCCTGAATTGGCCCAGCTTTGGCTGGCAGCCATTAATGCGTAAGCTAGTTTTCGAGAGCCCCTTCCATCTGCACTCTGAGGGTGCCAATGCTTTCAAGCTATGTGCGAAGACCTAAGTAGGCCTGCTGCCCGCCACGGACTTGAGAGAAACTCGGCACACGGCGCGCCTCTATGCCCCGCCTCTTTCCCGCCCTACTTCAGGACGGATGACAATCGGGGCCCTCTCTTCCTCCTCCTCGTCCTCGTCGTCCTCCTCCTCCTGCTCCCTTCTTCCTCTCCTCCTCCTCCTCCTCCTCTTCCTTCCCCTCTTCCTCCTCCTCCTCCTCCTCCTCCTCCTCCTCCTTTGATTCCTCCTCCTCCTCCTTCTCCTCCTCCTACTCCTACTCCTCCCAAGTCCCATTTTGGCTCAACTCGCCGTTGCGTCGCGTTTGGCCAGACCCGAGCCTTCGCGAGGCGGACGCGAGACCCGATGCCTGCAGTCTCCTTTGTGGCGGGTGGCGACGACTGATTCGTGGCGAACATCATTGTGCAGTGGGGCTGCCCGAAGGCGTGGTGGCTTACAGCCTCGCGCGAGGCTATCATGCAGCCAGCGTGGCGACCGCTTTGCGCCGGTTGGCGCGGAGGCGGAGGCGCGACGCGTGCGAGGCGGGTTTTCGCCGATTGCACTTTCTTTCGTCTCCGAATGTGCCCTGGCGGGGTCCGTTGGCGGAAACGGACCAAGTTCATGTTTCTTGGTGTGCATTCTGAGGACACTGCCAAGCTGGAGCGGAGATGTCACAGCTATGGCGGCGTGTGCTCAGCCTCAGGGAACTCCCATATTGTCTTGGAGGGAAAGAAGCCTACATGGGGTCACGTGGACCTTACTCGCTGCCTGCTAGCCTCCCAGAATGGCTGACTGTATCGTAAACTGCCTGCTCAGCCGCCAGAGGAATCGTGAAGCGGCCGAGCTGACTTGGCCCTCCCGCGCCACCCAACGAACCCTTTGGGATATAAGCTCTTTTCTCTGTTTAGCTGCCGCCAAGACGAGTGGCATGTGGTAGCAACAAGTTCTCCACCAGATGTAACCAAGCAACCAGTCAGTGCTCGCACGGGAAGATTGAGGGTGTGGAATAGATTGATGTATCAAATAATCGTTTCAAACATGGGCCCCCCTGAACACCGTATGTTCTCTCTTCGGCTCCCTCCTTTCCCTTGCTGTTTCCCCTTCGCTCTGCCTACCCTTCCAGGGCTCTTTTGTTTGCTTAGCTGTCGCCAAGACGAGTAGCCCGTGGTAGCAAACAGTTCCCCACCACATGTAACTAAGCAACTAAGCAACCTATATGAAACACCCTCCTACACCTGTCTCCGCGACCCTGCATGCGCAAAAAAGTCCCGAGGGGCCGTTTCGGGTTACCCCCCATCTCCCGACCAGGGCCAGAGGGATTCTCTAGAAGCCCTCTAGAGCTCCTCCTCTTCCTCTTCCTCCTCTACCATGGCGTGCACTTGCCCTCTCCTGGCCCCCTCTCCCTCCCCCCGCCCTCCTCGCTGTGACCCAGGGGCGGGCAATGTAGGGCCGTGTTGGATCTTTTTCATTCCTCCACCTTCTCCTCGGTTGTTTGTGTGGTCTCTGGATGCATTTCAATGTCCTTCTCCTCGGCTACTTGTGCCTGAAGTGAGGATGAGCCCGCTGTAAGGGCTGTTTCGACCATCGAGCTCGAATGGGTTCGGCGCTCACCCAGCAAAAAGCATCCTCCTCCTCCTCCTTCTCATATCTCCTCCTCCTACTCCTCCTTCACCTCCAAATCCTCATCTCTCCTCCTCCTCCTGCTCCTCCTTATCCTTCCTCCTCCTCCTCCTCCCTCCTCCTCACTCCTCCTTCTCCTCCTCCTCTTCCTCCTCCTCCACATCCCTCCTTCTCCTCCTCTTCCTCCGCCTCCTCCTCCTCCTCCTCCTCCTCATCATCATGATCATCATGATCATCATCATCCCTCCATCTCCACATCCCTTCTCCTCCTCCACCTCCTCCTCCTCATCATCATCATCCCTCCTCCTCCACATCCCTCCTCCTCCTCCTCCTCTTCCTTCCTCCCTCCCTCCTCATCCCTCCTCCACTCTCGTCTCCATGGCGTGTTCTTCCTCCCTCTTCGCCCCTCCCCCCGCCCTCCTCGCCGTGGCCTTGGGGGCGGGCGACAGGCCGCAGGCCTCGCCGCGGCCGGCGGAGTCGCCGCTCTCGCCGGCCTCGTCGCGCGGAGGGGCGCCTGGGGCGGCGGCGGCAGCGGCGGCGTCGGCCCAGGTCGACAAGGCCAACGAGTGCGACGAGTAAGTAGGATGGGGATGAGTAAATAGGGATGGGGATGGGGATGGGGATGGGATGATGCTGATGCTGATGCTGATGCTGATGCTGATGCTGATGCTGCTGAGGATGATGCTGCTGAGGATGATGCTGCTGACGATGATGATATTGATGATGCTATTGATGCTGATGCTGATGATGATATTGACGTTGATGTTGCTGATGCTGTTGACGATGATGCGACGACGATGCTGCTGCTACCGACGACGACGACGGTCACGATGATGATGATGGCGATGATGATACTGATGATGATGATGCTGATGATGATGATGATGATGATGATGACGAGTATGATGGCCATGATTAGGATGATGATGCTGATGATGATGATTATGCTGATAATGATGCTGATGATGTCAAGATGCTGATTATGATGATGCTGATGCTGGTGATGATGAACATGATGATGATGCTGATGACGACGATGATGATACTGACGACGACGATGCTGCTGCTGTCGACGACGACGATCACGACGATTCTGATGCTGATGACGATGATGATGGTGATTGTGATGATGATGATGATGATGAAGCTGATGATGGTGATGCTGATGACGATGATGATGCTGCTGCTGATGCTGATGCTGCTACTACTGACTGTGGTGTTATGAATGATGATGGCGACCATTCTGACGACGATGCTGCTGCTGCCTGCAAAGATGACAACCATGATGATGATGATGATGCTCATGATGATGCTGTTCATACTGGTCATGATGATGATTATGAAGAAGAAGATACTGATAATGATGATGTTGATGATGATGATGACGATGATGATGATGATGATGATGAGGTTGTCGATGATGATGATGTTGACGACGATGCTGCAGCTGTCGAAGACGACGATCGCGACGATAATGACGGCGATGATGATGCTGATGATGATGCTGATTGTGCTGATGATGATGCTGATGACGATGATGCTGATGCGGCTGCTGCTGATGATGACGATGATGCTGATGACGATGATATTGACGGCGATGCTGCTGCTGTCGACGGCGACGATCACGTCATTGAGGACGATGATGATGCTGATGATGGGATGATGCTGATGATGAGGATGCTGCTGATGATGATTATGATGATTTTGTTGATCATGATGGGCACGATGATGCTGATGGTAACGGTGATGACGATGACGATGATAACGACGATGATGCTGATGCGGATGCTGACGAGGATACTGGTACTGATGATGGCGAAGATGATGAGGATTCTGATGATGATGCTGATGGCGATGACGATAACGATGACGATGATGATGATGCTGATGACGCTCATGCTGCTGTTGCCGCCGACGACGATCACGACGCTGCTGATGATAATGATGATGAACAAGATGATAATGATGATGTTGATGACGACTATGATGGCCATGATTAGGATGACGGTGGTGACGATGATGATGTCGATGATGCTGAAGATGATGTTGCTGATGATGATGATGATGATGACGACGACAACGATGATCATGATACTACGGATGCGGACGTTGATGATGATGCTGATGATGATGATGGTGATGATGATTTTGCTGCTGATGATGCTGATGCTGATGACGAGGCTGCTGATGATTGTGATGATGATGCTGATGATGATGATGCTGATGATGATGATGCTGATGCTGATGATGATTCTTATAATGCTGCTGATGCTGCTGCTGATGATGACGATGATGAGGATGATGGTGCGAATGATGATGATGGTAATTATGATGATTATGATGATGCTGTTGCCGACGATACTTCTGATGATAATGCTGGTGACGATTCGATGATGAAGACGATGATGATGATGATGGTGACGATGATGATGGCGATGATGATGTCGATGATGATGCTGATGGTGATGCTGATGATGATCAGGCTTATGCTGATCATGATGATGACGATGATGATAGTGATGATGGTGACGATGATCATGGCGATGATGATGATGATGTCGATGATGATGCTGATGATGATGCTGATGATGATGATGATGGTGATGACGATGACGATGATGATTCTGATGATGGTGATGATGATGCTGATGATGATGATTATGATGATGATGCTGCTGCTGCTGATGATGATGATGATGATGATGCTGACGCTGACACTGACGCTGATGCTGATGCTGATGCTAATGCTGATGATGATGTTGAGGATGTTGTTGTTGTTGATGATGATGGTGATGATGCTGATGATGATGATGATGATGATGATGATGATGATGATGATGCTGATGATGATGAGGATGGTGGTGGTGGTGATGGTGATGATGATGATGATGATGAGGTGGTGGTGGTGGTGGTGACGGGGGTGGTTGTGGTGGTGGGGTGGTGGTGGTGGTGTGATGATGATGGTGAAGAGGTGGAGGAGGAGGAGGAGCAGGGGGAGGAGGTGGAAGAGAAGGAGGAGGAGGACCAGTGGAAACCCAAGCGGCATCAAAGATGTTGGGGTAAACCCTCACTCCCAGCTTCCTCCCCATAGGCTCCTACAACGGTTTCCTCTGAGGGAACCGCCTCGTTGGAAGACAACCGTTTGAAGATCCTGAAGGATGCCAAAACATTGTTCTTGGGATTCCAATGCCACGGATCAACCTGACTGTTGCGTCTGGACGGCCTGAATCGTGCAAGAACGCCCTTCCAGGGACTTCAACACCGCGAATCAGCATAACTGTTGCACCCTCATAAGCCTGAATCCTTCCCAAACGCCATTTCTGATACGTTGATCTTGGGAATCCGTGAAACTCTTACAATTTTACAACGAATGTGCGCGGCGCTAAGGCGAGAGCCACAATTTGAAAAGGAGCCGCCCTCAATCCGCGAAGCTCTTGCACTAATCTTTAACGAATGTGCGCGGCGCTGGGGCGAGAGCTGCATTTTGTACACGACCCGCCCTTGGTCTTGTGAAACGGTTGCCAATTTTTAAGCTTCAGGGTCATCAGTGGTGAGGAGGTCTCAGGCGAAACGCCTGGCCTGCCCGAAAAACAGGCCTCGGAGAGCGACAGGGGGAAGTTCTTGATAAGGAGAAGGAGTGGATGAGGACGCGGACGGCCGAAGAGGAGGAGGAGGAGCAGGAGGAAGAGGAGGAGGATGAGGAGGTGGAGGGGGAGGAGGACGAGAAGGATGTGTAATGATAATGAAGAGGAGGAGGAGGAGGAGGAGGAGGAGGAGGAGGAGGAGGAGGAGGACGAGGAGGAGGAGGAGGAGGAGGAGGAGGAGCCAGGAACCCGTGGCATTGCGCCAGCCCTACGGGGCAAGCCACGGACGACACAGTCTGAATATCGACATCCTACATCTTATATCCTTTTCCCATCCTCCACTCTCCATTTACATTATGCACCTGTCTTCACCTATTACACTTCAATTTGCTTTCTTGCGTTTGCGTTGCGAGCATTGCGCAACACGAAGGGCTCGCGACACCGACAGTGACATCGTACGCCTAAGCGCACCAGACGAAAGGTCGGTACCCTACATCGACATCGGCATACATGCCGCACGCCCTCGCAACCACCATGACGCCGACCGCAGCTCCCAACCCAGCGTGGCACAGACGAGAAAAGGAAGCACAAAGCTGCAGCGCGCACGCTAATACTTATTGCCTCAACAGTATTTACTGGATCAACCTATTCAGCAGCAAATGCAAAAAGCACGACAACTTCTTGACCAACATCACAATGCACAACGAACACCACACACCACGACAGACAACACATGCAAGCAATTTCACGACGCACAGGACAGGCACCTGCACCCCAAACCAAGGGGAAAGGCAAAGGGAAATACCACCAACAACAGCCGCGTGGCAAAGGCCACAGTACAATATGGCAGCCATAAGGCCACAATGGTTACAAGGCACCTGATACGCAGACGTCCAAGTACTATTGAATCCATACCATGCAGCAACGCAACGGATACAGCCCACGCACAACTTACCAACATCAGTACAACCACAATCAAAGAAAACCCACCACGCCAATACCCAGCACGCACCAGCGACAGACCCAAGCAAGCAATCGACATGACAAACAACAACCAGAACCCAACTTCGGCAATAACATTGACCGCGCAGCATACATCGACCAAGAAGCCACGGATATCATGGACAGCATGCCAGAGGCATTCTACGACGACGTCCAGAACAAGGACCGCCCGTGCATTGCACCGCTTGAAGTATGAGCATGGATTGCATCGAAGAGAGCGAACATCAGGAAACTAGCATCACACATATTTGCAGATGAGAAGGCCGGCCCCGAAGCAGACCACCAACGACACGTATTGGCAGTTAAGAATTGGCAGCTACTAGACCAGAAGCCGCTGCGTGAACAGCTACAAAACATGCACCAACTCAGAGACGACCTCGCAGCGTGCGCCAAGATCCCCGAGGCCGCGCCCAAGCAGACACAACAACGACACGACGACAACCTACGACTCACCAAGACCCACGCAAACATCGAGAATGATATCATCCAGCAACGACAGCACACGCCGTGCCCACAACCGACCCACAATGCATCGCCAAGAGGCCGAGACATCCAACTCAACCAACATTCACACCACAAAGGCCCACTACGACCACTCAAACCAACGACGCCGAGCCCGCGCGCGCAGGAGGACATCATTCGACTCGAGACGCTACTCAGTGAGGCACTCGAAGACCTACAAGCAATCGACACAATCATACAGTAACTAAGATTTAGCCCGACAGACCAGCACTGGCGACAAACGAGCACAACGCCGACTTGAGTGCGCAGAAGCCACCATCAGCAACTGCAAACAGCCAGTGACTCCCTGTCCACCGACTGCCACAACACAAGAGAGCAGCTGCTTGCAGACCAAAACTTTGATGAACAGGAAGCCTCTCGCACAGGACAGCTTGCAACGCGACGCGCAACCGGCGGA